AAAGAGTTCGCATATATAACACCAAAATACGCTTAGGAAAAGGTAGGTAATAAACTTGCTATAATACCGGAGGTATAATCTTTAACTAATGTCGGCAAAAATTCTCATGAATACCATATCACTGGTGGGGACATTGGGAAAGGGTCAGAAGGTCTACATTTAATACAATGCAAAGGGTACAGTAAGTTGTAGTTCCTCACAGCGGGGTGAAGCGAATGAAAGATCTTATAGATCTCATTAAACAGGCACTGATAGCATTCTATCTGACTTACGCTGTTATTAATTCTTTCATATTAGAAAAAAAACCATCTGGTAACTCCCGCATGTCGTTGTAATGAAAGTACCTACGAGTTAATCAAGAGCAGTTAAGCTTAGCAAGCAATACAAGCTCGTGTTAGACAATTTCATGTATTTCTTAAACTTGCTGCATCAGTTACTGGGAGGTCACATTTTCGTCCAAATCCAAATCATTACAAGATACCTATGCAAAAAGCGATGAGAACTCAGTAATAAGGAAAAGTGGGTAAGAATTGCTAACCAGGTTACATCTTAAGCATAAGTTAATCAAGCATCTGTTGGTGTCTGTATTTATCCAACATACTCTTAATTCTTGGCGACCAATTTAAGTTTTTCTTGAATTCTATAATAGAACTCCGTTAAGTTCGTATACGCCCTGAATAAACTCAGTAAGTGCATACTCACAAGAATCGAATGTTCGGCGCGACATCTTTGAATTGTTCATTAGTTATCTCAGTGATTTTGTTTCGATAAAAACTCCTGAAAAAGGAGAAAGCAACGAAAAGTGTACATGTCATGCGAGTATTGCAACATCATTTCTGAAACTGTTTACTTTAATTCAATTTGTTTCGTTTTGTTTTAAAGCTAAAGCTCCATAATCGTGAGTCAACATAACATGAATGTCTTGTGTAGTATAAGATGAAACAACGAAACAATTCCTTCGAACCGAGTTTACGCAGGTTATAAAGAAGTCCCTCAGATAGCTAAGGGCTTCGTTAAACAGCATCAGTTAACTTTGATTTGTTTGCCTGACGTCATGATTACACTAATTAAGGGCCGAGAGGCTTTTTCCTTAAAAAGTATAGACTTGATCTTGTGAGGTACGTCACGCCATACCCTTTGTTTGAGTCTTGAAGGAACCTGAAGTTGGCTTCCCATAAAGTTCTTGCACTTTAAAAATTTCTTCCTGTCTTTCATATGATCTCACAATCACCTTGGTGTCCATGCACTGAATAAAATGGGTCTTGCATGTGCACTAGACTTATTTTATCTCAAACCCACGTTAATGTTTCGAATATTACCCTGTTGGATGTACGTTCACTGTTGCACAGTGATAACTAACATGATCAGAAGGATAAACTAAGCTAAGACGATAATTCTTCGGTTTATGTAAGCTGCCTGGGCTTATACATGTAGATGCAGAGTAAGTAGAGTCTATATTTAAGATTATGGTGGTATTTAATAACATTTCATTCAATCGATCAATACACTCATGATATCTAAGGTGTGCATACGCAGCAAGGTGAAGATATAAAAGGCAACTTAACTTCAAAAACTTAAAACTATGCGATTTTGCTTTGAGATAGCAGTAATTCAGGTTTTGTTTGGTGTCCTTCAGTCTATCATGAAAAGCAATTCGTACTACTTCTGCTAAAATTTGTTATGAGTCTCACTGCTTTTTGAAGTATTAATTTCGTTTATCAAATAAGATACTTACATAGACATCATCTGTTTCGCGTCCTTAAAAACTCCACGCGGCAGATACATGATATTGTTGTCATAAACAGCCCTGAAAAATAAAAAAGGACTTATTTTATCTCTGAAAAACATAAAAAAATCTAAGCATAAATCGATTTTTATTGCAAATGTCATTCATGTTACTCTTCTGGCATTCTTACAGAGTATTGAAAGGTAAACCAGCACTCTCCAGGGGTTCACCAGCTCGATTAAGTAAGCAAAAATCCAAGCAAAAAGTGACGTTGTCAACTATCCAAAGGTCTTCACGATACATAAAAACAATTAGCTTTTACCATACAAAGTTACTCTTTCCTTTAAGTATGCGTGAGATTCATTTTAATTGAAAATGTTTTCTCCGTAAAAGTTATATATGTATCGAGAATATCGAGCAAGGATGATCTGTTAAGGAAGTTAAGAGTCATTGCTTTTCGTT